AAAAAAAAAAAAAAAAAAAAAAAAGAACAAAAAAGAAAAAAATACAGGCGCGCGTCTGCGCAACATATACAACCCCCCCCGCCCTACGACTTAACATGCGAAAGGAACTTATTCTTTTTCGAAACATAATCTATGATGTGTGCAGATATATCACTTCCAGAATCGGAATCGCTTTCATTTTTCCTATCCATATAATCATTATTTATGATGGCGTTTTTTTTTTTTTTTTTATTTCACTCTTAACGTATGTACTGAGTACATCTTTCATGCTGGTATTAAACCAGCTAAAAATTGGGTGCTTATTCAGGTTTAGTGATTTACTTAAAGCGTCATGAATATTTTCCGTGCACTGTAAAACATCCAAGTTATCTCTCTTTATTAATTCTACCGTGTGGCTGTTTATGTACCCTCCATAGTTGTACAGATCATCAGCTTTTATTTGTTCTTCTATGTCCAAGCTTAACTTGCGCACATCTGCTTTAAGCTTCTCTTTCAAATAAGCTACATAATTTTGTGAAGAATCTATACTGTAAAATTCTACTAAACCGATTCCTAAGGATTTCCCATGCTTATCATCTTCAAGAATAACTACTCTTTTCACTTTTCCAATTTTGTCGCAACAATTTTTTATCACCACATCATTTATAAAGTATAACAAATTGACCAGTAATAAAAACTCCACCTTATTATCTTCTTCCTCTTCTGCGTCTTCGCTCAATTGTGGGGCCCCGAGGAATAAGCACGGTTCTGTACGAAATGGTTCATGTGTTGTGGGATTATACGTGGTAGCAAGTGTGAAAAATCAAATCGATCGCTTCAAACGCAATAAATAAAAGCAGCAGGCGTTGTGGCCATTTTGCACGTTCCTCCTTCATCGTTGCCGTGCATGCAGGGGGGGGGGAGGAGAGCGACGTGAGGCACTACGAACGACATGTATATATTTCCCAAGGAGCTTTTTTCCCCCTACCCCCTCGTGCGCACATTGCATGCTGCCGCTTTTAAAAATGTGTGTAGTTACCCTTTTTGGTGTAAACCGCCTTCGCGCCGCTTAATTTTTTGTACAAACTTTTTCTTGACTTTTCAAATAATTGCTACGATGTGGGAAAAGGGGGAAGCGGTCAAATAGAAATTTTTTTTTTTATCCCTTAGACTGCATAAATTTGTATGCGCAGCAAAAAAAAAAGTGCTCCCTTTTTTAGCTGGGGCCCCAATTGGGGTTCTTCTTAAATGTCTCACCTCTTTCGGCTTGACGACGGGCGCCCTTTCGACTTCCTTTTTTTTTTCTTCGATTCTTTTTTCGTATGATCCCTGCAGCTGTTCGTTGGGAGGGGGGAAAGAGAAGTACAATGTAGCCACATGTGGAAGAAAGTCAAGTGACGCAAAATGGTTATAAAACGCCGTTGCTCCAAATAAATTGCTTCCTTCCCTCTTTTGCCACCACGTCACTCGAGGAGCCTTAATGTAGCAACAGGAAAAAACATTATGCCCTACTCCTACAAGCGCATGCATACGATATGTTCAACCCAGGGCCTTACCAAATTGTCGGCCTCTAACCCTTCGTATAAATCCTCATCATCCTCGTCAACCTTGAAAAGGGGGGAAAATGAGGAAAATGCAAATGTTAAATTTGGTAACAAAAAAAAAAAATCTACACACAACAACTGCATTTGAAGGTGAGCAATTTTGCAAGTGCTACTTTATGAAGGGGATACCCTCGGGTAGGGCGGTCACTTGGTGCTCATTTGTGTGTTCATACCTCCGAATAATCCATTGGTGTGTTGGTGGATGGGTCAAGTGAATTAGGCCGAAGAATGGGTGCCACACACAAGTGCATACATATGTGTGTACTCGCCTATGCCCTTATTATCCGTGCTGCTTCTTTGCGCGATTGCAACGTCGTCACTTTCTTTTCGCTTAGCATGCACAGGTGTGCTCTGGGCCTGCAGGTTGGGTTCGCCGCTCAGCTATCAAGTTAGGCCGTCCCTTAAATGTAAAAAGGGCGCAGCGGAGGGATTACGTCTTCTCTCTTGCGGAGGTAAATGCAAAATGACATGGGCATCCAACAAACTAAGAGGCTTTCCTTCCCCTGTACATGTAACGTTCACAATTGGGGAAAATTATTTTTGCGTGTTTTGTGCATACCGTCTGAAGGGTGAGCAGCACTGACTCGGGAATACAGACATACCTGAGCACCGCGTGCAGACTGCAGAACAGAACGAGAATTTCACAATTTCGCAATTTTGAAAAACTTCATATGTTCAAACTGCGATTGTTCACATGTTTTGCACGTGTGTGTACCTCACGTGGGGGAAAAACGAGAACATCAAGACTCGAAAAATCGACTCGCTCTTTTCACCCTAGCCCCTTAAAAAAAAAAAAAGCTCCGCGGTATTAGAAATAAAGGTACGTGTAAAGAGTTAGGGGCACTTGCATATGTTTCATTGGTGTAACGAATATATGACACACGCCACGTCGGACATTTTTACACAAGCAACAATACAGAGTGAGAAAAGGGCAAAAAAAAGAAAAAAAAAAAAAGTATGCCCTTCTCCCTCTTTACACAAGCAACCGCAAGAGAACCAATTGGCTCACTTTGTTAATGAGAAATTTGATGTTGCATGGAAGATCTTTCCACAAGGAGGTTATTTCATTTTTATATACATCAAATAGCACGTAGGGGTGTAACAGAAAAAGGGAAAAAAAAAAAAAAGTTCTCCCCTAAATGTCATAACGTTATGGCCTTAACACCTGATGGCGTATTCTTTTTTTTTTTTTTTTTTTTTTTTTTTCTTGTGAAATGCGTAAATCCAGCTCATTCTCGATAACCTCCACGTTGTTCATATGAAAAAGGAGAGCTCAAAAAATTATGTAAATATTTGCCTTCATTAAATGTTACATATAAACTGAGAAAAGGATTATGTTATCAAAGTGGAGTGAAAAAAGCTTTACACCTTGAAGGCGTGAAGGTTCCGGCAAAAACTGAGTGACGCTTAACGATCAAGTCAAGCCCGGGCTTAAAACAAAAATAAACCCTGAGGCTCAAAAGGGAAGTGAATGGTATACAACTCCACGGAAAAAAAAAAAAAAAAAGTTATAAAGTTAAAAACAAATCTGCAGAAAGCTGTGTTTACAATTGAAGCTGTTTTTGTTTTTTTCACAAACAAGAGGGAAAAAAAAAGAGCACGATTTCATACAATTATTTATCCCTACCCAAAAATCTTTTACGGAATACAGCATATTATACCCTGTAAGCAACAGAGGTTAAGAGAAGCCGGAGAAAACTTGAATAACACGAAAAAGTACGAAGAAGCGAAAAAACATTTACCTTTTCACTCCACCCTGGATAGAGATTTTTTCAGGAGCACACTTTGCCCATTTTTCTTACAACTTGTTTTTTCGCTGGTCTTGCATTCCTGCCCTCACTGTGCGCCCCTCGCCCGCTTTACATTTTACGGGTGTTCCTGATTAACACGCTTCCAAAAAGAAAATGGAAAAAACATGGAGGTGTAATTCCTGCCTAGTGGTTAACTCGGAAGAGGCCACAGAATGTGCGTGCTGTATGCAAAAGAGGAGCAACGAGGATGGTAAGATAAACGGAAATTTTATGAACAATGGTAACGACAGCGATCGCGATAACTTAATCGATATTGAAAAAAAACACAAAAAAAAAAATGACGACAGCTCCTCTATTAATACAGACACAAATGTTGAAGCACATGCCACAAATTCCACAGAGGATACCAAGCATAGTGAAAATGCAAATGAAGGTAAAGGTGGTATGTTCGATGGAGATGGCTTTATGCCATCACTCAAACAATCCCCTGACATCCGATCTTCAAGTAAAAGCATTTTCATAACGGGCGTGCCAAATAGTAATACCACCACCGCAACGAACGATACCACAACTGTTACACTTGAAGACACCAATGGACACATTAAAGAGAACAGAACAGGGGAGAATAACGTCACTGGGGAGAAAACCAAAAAGACCATTGCAAAAGGCAGAGGCAGGAAGAAGGCAGACAAGAGAGAGAGAGCGCCATCTACGCGAATACAACCTGCTAGAAAATGCACACAAAAAAAAATATGCTACAAGACATGAGCACATTTAAACAATGGGGCATATATAAATACATAATAACATGCTATTTTTTTTTTTTTTTTTTCCACTTTTTTTCACTTTGTCTATTTATCGAGGCAGTTAATGAATCAATTACTCAATGAGTTGATAATTCTTTTATGCAACCGTCCGTCCACTTACCCGATCATTTTTTCCGCACACATGTTTTCCGTACATTCATGCAGGAACTAAAATAGTTTTATTCTATTTTTTTAATTTTGACAATTTTTTAATTCCATCTTATTAATGCTTTTTTTTTTTTTTTTACCCCCCTTTTAATTCGGCCCTACACGCAGGTTTGTATGGATACACCTGTGTATGCGCTGTTGTCTGGCTCAAATCATTACATGTTCACAGGATGAATGGAAAAGTTATATTTATTTTTAGCACCCCTCACGGCGTACTAATCACAGTTCGCATAAAAGGAGCAACGTAGGAGGGGCTCCCAGATTTAGGGTTCAGGCAGACTTACATCGCAGAGCCATGTGTAGATGGGCAACGTTTGGACACAGTCACGCTAATGCGCATATGTCGACTACTGGTATTTTACGCTGCATGTATTATCCTATTTCTGTTTTGGAGGAATTCACGTGGTGACGACTGCTCAGGAGCAACACGCTTTTTCCCTTCTTTCTTAGCATATACATTCATGCGATGAACAAAAAAAAACACACACACACAAGGGTTGTACAAAGGCGGTGGACACAACTTGATTGTCCCCCCTTTAGTTACTCACTTGGCTACCTGCAGGAGGGGCAATCCAGAAGGTCTTCTTTTGGGATACGCAGGGGGCTGTGCGCACTAGTGATTGAGATTGTCATTTACACAGTTCCAGTGATGATTCCCCATCACCCTTCCGCTTCCTGTCTCACACTGCTGCCCCCCCCCCTTACACGTTTGTATTTTCGTCATAATCTGCGCTCTTGGATGTGGGCTTTTTATTATGGTATATCTTTTTAATAATTTCGAAATCCACTTCCCTGGGCACTTCAATTGGCTTAAAGGTGTCAATGAAAAAATTCAAAACGTGGTAGTTGCTTCCTGCATAAGTCACGATGGTGGGTAACACGAAGAGTCCCAAGACGTAAAATATTTGAGCCCGTCTGTCTTTTATATTCTTGCCACTAGGTTTGTGGTACCCGCTGTAGAAAAAACCCATTCTTCTGCGAAAAGAAAATGACAAAAATGAGGGACACGGTGGAAGGTCTTTGGGGGGGGGAAAAATCCCTTTGTCGCTACACTCCTTCCGCAATGTGCCCTCTCTGTGCCGCGTCAAAAGGGAATAGCACACGCATCATTCACACGGTCGTATATTAACACACTTGTGGGCATAACTTGGTTGGCATTTTCAACCGTGTTCACAGAGCTCGAGGTGTTTACACAAATGCAGGCACCCCTACACATTTGCACACGGAAGTAACTTACTCATGTGAATAGAACACGAAAAAGAGATTTGCCTCTCTTGGTGAATCGTTAACCTCTTGTTCCCTTTCCCACTTTATACTTTTGCTTGAGAGTACATATGGCCCTTTCTTCCTAGTTGTTTTTTTTTTTTTTTTTTTCAAATTTGTAAGTACCCCCTATCTGTAAACATCCCTTAGAAATTCACCTAAATAAACTCATCAACAAAAAAAATGCCACAGAAGCAAAATTGGAAGGGGGGGGGGGGTTCCAAAAGAAATTGTGGCGCTCAGCGGAACAGAATTTTTGAATTTCGCGGAAATTAAATATTTGTTGCTAGCGCACAAGCAAAAAAAAAAAAAAAAAAAAAAAAAATATATGCAACATAAGGGCAAACACAAATATAAGCGTATAAATGAACAGGTAAATACGATCACACAGGTGTGCTTATCCACACGAATGCGTCGTAAAGTAAATTGAAAAAAAAAAAAATCAAAATGGAAGACGAGACGGAGAAAGACCTGGTGGGGCTTGTTTTGTCAGAACTTGAAATGTCCAAGGAATATATTAGGGGCAAATTTAAAGGTACAGGAAAGGGCGGCAAAGGTGAAGAAGAAAGGAGGGACCAAACAGGGGGAGAACCCAAGGAGGTTTACAAAAACTACGACAAGATATTAACCAGCATTGAGGACAAAATAGCTTTTTATAAAAACTTGAGCGACGTGGAAAACGAAAAAAAGGGACACACTCAAAAGGGGGAAAACGGCCCCACTGAGCAGCGCTACCAAAGGACAGCGAGACGAAGGGACAACTTTTTCGAAGAATACGAAAAAAACAAATCCAGTCTTCAGAAAATGAAGAAGAAAACCATTGCAGGGTACACAGCGGAAGGAAATGCCATAATTATAAACAATGATAAATTTTGCAAAATGTTCCTTAATTATAATTTGTCTAGTGATCGGGAAAATGGAGTGCAGGATGGGCGCTCGAATGGAACTGTCCAGGGAGGGGACGACTTAAGCGAACTGTCCTGCTCAAGCTCGAGCGTCGTTTCGCTACACAGTTTTGTAAAAAGTGAAAAGGCTAAACGGATAAGAAGCAACAGGGAAGCATACGTAAAGCATAAATATCATGATCATGCATTTGTTAATCACAAATTGTATCCCTGCAGTGACTGCTCGTCCAGTTCGTTCAGCTGGTATAGCGATGACTATGACGATCTGTTCTACTACTCTAATTTGTTAAAGGAGGACAAACGGTTGAGAAAGCACTCCGTAGGGGAAGCAGCAGGGGAGGAGGGTAAGAAGAAGAACAAGGATAAGCAACAGTGTAAACAAAAGAAGCGCGTAGAAAAACAGGACAAGCAGCTCGAACGTGATGCTGCAAACGAATCCCCCTTCTACAACTACATCTACTTCAAGTTAGCTGAAAAGGACAAAAGGAAAAAAGCCTACCCCGTTTTTGTAAACACCATAAATGGAAAAAAAAAAATGTATAATTTAAAAAAAATTTGCAAACTTACACATAAAAAGAATTCCAACTCTGTTGATGCAAATAAGTATGAATTAGATGATGCGCTATTCAGTTACAAAAAGTGTAAGTTACTTCCATCCGTTAAGAATGAAACGAAGAGCAAAGGAACTCAGCTCATGGAAATGCACTCCAAGGATGTGTTGAAGAGAAAGCACTTTGATTCTGATGAGATAAACTAGTAAGTGCAACATAAAAAAGAAAATAAATAATAAATAAGCCACATGAAAAGCGAGTCGCAAATAAATGCTACCCTCCTGTATAAGCAAAAATGGGAAAATAAAAAAAATTAAAAAAAAATGTAACTTACCCTATGAAAGATGCTAGTGGATGGACTGCTCATCAAAGTTCATGGCAACGCAGGGGGAAGCAAATATTTTTATACCCTAACGTACCTCCTCATTTTTCAGCGCAATAGACAAAATTATACATCAGCTGGGAAAAATCTCCAGCTCCGAAAAAGAAGACAAAAAAAAGTTCAACCACTCTGACCACTTCAACAACATTATTAACAAAAATAAGGAGTTTTTAAAACGGGAAAAGTAACACAAAGATATAGAGCATACAGTTCTCCTTTATTTTATTTTTTTTTTTTTGTTCGCATTGTGTGTGCATTTCTATCCGTTGTACCCACCCTGGCGATGTGTCCACCTGCACCCCTTTTTTTTTTTTTTTTGGTCACCTCCTTTGCAGAAATTTTACCTTCCAAAAGTTGTGCGAAACTGAGAAGATAACGTAAGGAACAGTTGCAAGCGAAAAGGCGGCATCACCGCTCAACCGACTAACCGCTGAACTTCATAGCAGCAAAACTGCATAGCCGCTCAACCGTGAACCCCCCCTTTTTGCGCAGGCTAAAAGTAAAAATCATCGGAACTGATGGGAAGGTGATCAAGAATAAAAGTCTGGATAATGTTCTAATCAACAAGGTACCCACAAGACGGCACACGCTAACACGCACACTTGTATCAATGTACTTCACGCGCAGTGTATATGTGGCACATATTTTCCTACCATCCTCTGCGCGGGTGATGTCCACCGTCCTCCCCCTCCTCCCGTTTACCCCACGCAGAACAAAACCTTCGGCGATTTGGCCACCCACCTGGGCCACTCGTTCAAGCTACCCAAGGACAAAATAGAAAACATCAAAATGTATTTCGACGGGGATTTATGTGATAAGGGTCTTACATTTGGTAATTTTGAAAAGAGATAATATGCCTTTTTGCGTGGCGGTGAAAAGGCATTCCCCTCTTATGTCGCACCCGTTGCTGTGCCTGCCTTTACACCAGTTCTGTCCCTCCCACAACAGATAAGGAAGAACTGGGGCTGGAAGATGGCTTCCAAATAGACGTGAAGTTTCCCCTGTCCGACGTAATCAAATTGTTGCTTTTGCATTTTGATGTCACTAGCGTTGAGCCATAAAACTATTTCAATATTGACGTAATGTTTTTTTTTTTTTTTTTTTTTTTTTTCATTCCCATCAGGATAATGCTATTAAGGAAGACGAAGCGAACCTCAGTGATGACAACTATGTGCTCTACCTACCGGACTCGTACGTCATTGATTAGTTAGCGAAAGGGGGAGCACAAGCACCCTTGTTTTTTGTTCAAAAAATAAAGTCTTTCTTTTCATCTTTTTCCCTTTTCTCACCTGGCCTGTGCAAGTGAGTAATTCTTGAAAAAGCCGAATAAGCAACGAACTGATGCACTTAACGGATCGGCATAGCTCAGTCAATTTCTTCTTGAATGAAATGTTTTTTTTAATGTTATCAAATGATGTGGATACATGTGGTATACCACACGTACCAACGTGTCTGTGTGTGTGTAGCGGGTCATACAAATTACCAAAACATATTCAAGTTTTTTTTTTTTCTTTATTTTTACAAAATGGCAAATGTACATTTTAAAAAAAGTGCCACTTTGGGATAGTGGCGCAGGGGGAAAACAAAAAAATGCACACTATGAAGCATAATATGCATAACGTTCGGAGAACCAAATAGCAACCCGGAAGGTACAGTAAAAGCGCGGGTTGAAGCAACAACAAAAAAAGGAGGATGCAACGTGGTCACTGCGCACATGACCACAATGCACAGCAAATACAAAAAAAAAAAAAAAGTACACTTACACCCATGTATGTGTACCGCAACGGCACTCAAAAATCCATTGGGATGTTCTGCCACGCCTGGAAAGATTTTTCATTAAACGTGCATTTCTTGGAGTACTTTGCAACTTTCAAAATGCCAATGTAGGCATATTTGCAATTGGCAATATTGCCAACATGTTCTGGAAATAAAATATAATCATCAGGGGTGACTTCGCTGTATTTCACTTTGTACTTTTCTTTGTTTATTTCCACAATTGTGTATAAGGTCGTTTTTTCTTTTAACATGTTTACCACATGTTCCATAATGACTTTTGGATCCAAGTCTACATCCTCCAAAACGAGTTTTATAATTCTTTTATTATTGTCAATATTTTTAATTGTCTTTAAGTTTTCCAATTTATCTCTATACGACAGATTAAATCCTCTCAGTGAAACCATATTTTCTTTTTCTCCATCATGGTCCCCACATTGCGTCATATCCTTTTCTGCGTCATTCGTATTTTCTGAATTTTCCAAAGTGCTTGTCTTCATTTTGCGCCTTATTCGCAGACTTGACTGTTGCGTACGAAGGTAAAATTAAGTCTCTGCCGCCGATGTATCCTTCGTTGTTAATTTGCATGCCGAAGAAAGGCATATGTTATTTTTGGTCTACTTTTTGTATGTATTAAATTGGGGGGAAAAAGAGAAACAAAAAAAAAAAAAAAAAGATACTTAAATGCGCATTGTGACAGTTTAAATTTGCAACTTTCCGTTGCCTCCACTTAAAGATGATTAGATGATTAAATTTAAGTTGTAGTATTATTAGAGGTAGCTTATTTTGTTTTTTTATATATTTTTTTTCATTCATCCGTATGGTAACATGCCAATTTGTTTTTCTCGCCTCACACTATTCTGCTGAATGTACCCACAAGAAAACGTCTAAATGGCGCTGCAAAAATGAGGATACTTTTTTGGGCTCGTCAAAAAAAATTTTTTCTTGGGAATTCCCTCCCTTTTTGCTGCAAATAAAATTTATAAGTATTATACGCTTAAAAAATAGTGCACGTCGCTGGAAAAATATGCATATGTGGTTTAACATTACCAACAGGAATTTTATCAACCTTGCAGCTCCGACAAATGCAAAGCGCGGGGGGCAGGCTTAACCAATGCAAATAATATATACGTAAGTTTTTATACGCATTGGGTATATATAATATATATATTTTTTTTATACCTATAACCATTCCAGTGCATTTGATCATTGTATGCGCCTTGTTGAATGTAAACATATTAAAAACCGACACTTTTTTTGCCGCTAGGGTTGGATATGCACTAGTCCCCAGGCGGGTGCTTGCGGCGGGCGATACTTCCATTTTGCTATTTTATGTTGTTGGTGGGTTCCCCCTCACCGCTACGCGCTAAAATTCGAACACGCCCCTCTGAAAAAGAGCTTAAAGTGCATTCAACTCGCGCACAGGCAATAGTGCTCCACTATACCACACCATTTGACGGAAAAAGGGGATACCCATTTGGGTCGGTGAGAAACGGTCGTCGTTGGGCAAGCGAGGCGAGAAAAATGGCCCACAGCAGGAACGGGGAAAAGTGTTATACGTTTTATACATATGCTTAGTGTCAATACCACGGCGCCATGAACAAATATGTACCTATATGAATATATATACGTAAATTATAATATAGCATAGCACAAATTCCGCATTCTAAACGGCAACGAAAAATAAAAAAAAAAAATGTAATCACACAAATTGCAATACGACAAAACGCTTGCTACTTATTTTATTTTTTTCTAACCACTTTTTTAAGAATCAATATAAGTACAAAAATTTACGTGACCATTTCCAACCATGAATTCAACTGTTCCCATCTGAATACAGTAAAATTTTCTCAAAAGCCTTAAACACAAGAAGGAAGTAATAAAAGGAAGAACGCCTTTGTTGAAGGAACCTCTTTTTATTTAAACTCTGCATTTTTCACCCCTACGGATTTATTAAAAAAAAAGCTCCTTGCTTTAAAACCTATCCCCTCCCAATCATGGTAAGCATTTCCACTACTTATATACATATATGCCCAATTGGCCCACTTGCATTTCCGTTTTTTCGCCGCAACAGCAATATGTATGTACGAATGGCTGACAGCATTTGTACGAATGTATTTTCTGTACCCGCTGTGGGCGTACAAAATTTTTGAGTAACTGCTTGGGTTTGGCGAAAGCATACATATATGATGAATGGGATGCTATGCATATGCCCCCTTGCGCGACATGAGTAGAGAGAGCAGCCACACGAGTATTCACATACCATGTGCTTACGCTGGAGTAACGAACATCTTGTGCTTCGCATTTATTTTTTTATCCTTCGAACCGGCCGAAGGGTGCTGCAGCGGAACAACAACAACGCTCAATTTTGTGGTGCCCTGTTGCCGCAACTCCAGTGAATAGCAGCATGAGAGATGTTGTGGCGAATGGCTACGTATGAGCGTTCAGTTGCTTATGCATAATTTTATCCTCCTTACCCCTTTCCCCTTTTACAGGAAGACGCAAACAAACCCAAAAAAAGGACATTCCGAACATTCCACTACAGAGGTGTGGAGCTCGATAAGCTATTGGACTTGAGCCAAGATGAACTGATTAAACTTTTCCGAGCAAGGCAGAGAAGAAAATTCAACAGAGGAATAAGTAAAAAAGAAAAGTCCCTTTTGAAAAAACTCAGAAAAGCAAAAAAAGAATGTGAAGTTGGAGAGAAACCAAGAGCTATCCCAACTCACTTAAGGAACATGACCATCATCCCCGAAATGGTTGGATCCATTGTCGCTGTGCATAATGGCAAACAGTACAATAATGTGGAAATAAAGCCAGAAATGATTGGCTACTACTTAGGAGAATTTTCCATTACCTACAAGCACACCAGACATGGAAAGCCCGGTATCGGTGCCACGCACTCATCCCGTTTCATTCCACTGAAGTGAGCGCCATGGCGCAAGGCAGACAAAGGAACACGTATGTATGTTGCCGACATGCATACGTACATATATATGTTATGCGCACACGCCTTCGCTGGAGGCATATTCCACGCCGCTACAAAGGAGGGTTTTGAACTAAAAAGCGACAAACATGTGCACTGCATTGGTTAACGAGAGCCTTAACGGAGAAAAGGAAAAAACAAGTGAGAACGAACTTGCAAACATGCTTTCGTGAAAAACCTTAATGTTCTTGCATGTACTGTATCTTTTTTCTTTCTTTTTTTTTTTTTTTCATTATCAAATTGGTAGCAGCTCCCCAACTTGCATTTTAAAAGCAAATATATGTATCGTAAGAAGAATTAAAAAAATATAAATATATATACTTTTTTCTCCACTCAAGCACAACGCAGTGCAACATGTAATGTGGGAAAGTTTTCATAGCAGGTTCATTTATTTCCAGTGTTACCATTCATAAAAAAAAAGTTCCACAAAGTAATGTATGTACAAAAAAAAAAATGCACACAAAAAAAGTTGTCCCATTTTTGTGTGCAGCGTGTCCACTATGGCACCCCCATTTGGGCAGATTCACTTTTAGAGGAGTAGCGGAACCACTTGATGGTGGACAATTTTCCACATACTCACAAATGGTAAAATTTACAGCAAATATTGTTAAAAAAAGCAACAAAAAAAAAAAGACAAAATAAATAAAACCTAAACACAAGTATGTGATCGTGATATCCCTGTACGGATTCACAGGAAGACCGTCGAGAACCTTTTCGGCTTCACAGAAGGCACTATATCTGCCTCTTTCCTCTTTTTAAAACTCAAAAAATTCTTTAAGAAGCCAAAAAGAGAACTCTCCATCTGGAAATTCAACTTATTTGGGTTCGTGTAAAAAGTTTGCGGCTTGGCAAACGAATCGCTGCCAAAGCTATAGTGATACACATTCGAGTATTGCTTTAAATTCTCGCACAAATGATTGTTGAGCAAAATAATTTCGTAAAATATGTGGTTGGCCATGTATATCTCCTTTTTGTTCAGAGTGTTAATGTTTATTTGGTACTTGTTTGGCAGGCACTCCTGCAGGCTGAACAACTTTTTGGTCGAACTGAGTTGCAGCGTCTCATCGGTGGCTTGCAGCGGGGTGATGTCCTTCTCCGTTACGCGCAGTTCCTCGCACAGAGGGTTATCTACCTCGTCCTCCGCCTCTGCAGTGCCATCCACATTGCCTTGTGCATTTCCATCTTCACCGCGCAAAGTGTTACAATTTCCCCTGAACATTTCGAGGATTTTTTTTTTTTCAAAATTTTTCCCCAAATCTTCATAGCAAAATAAATCCTTCTTAATTTCTAGGTTCATAAAAACAGAAGCGGAAAGGGACATGGCGTCTTTCAATTCGTTCTGGAAATAACTCATCGAATCGTACACCACGCTCAGGATGTTTATGGAGACGTTATAGGAGGTCAGGCAGGCTACTCTCAGAAGCTTCTTCAAAAAGGATATGACGTAGTGCAATGGGATCATTTGGTTTTTTATAGAAGCATGAATTATCTTTAAGAAGCTCGTGCCGGCGTAGTAGAAGCTCGCTGGTGTTATCAGCTCAAATAGCCTCTTGTAATAATCCGTGTACATATTATCGTTGAGTTTGTTGTCCCCTTCGTCTGTGTGATTTTGTTGGGGGGCAGTTTCATGTTCGCTTGGTTCTTCTTTTGTTTCTTCTCCCTCCTCATCGCTGTCTGCCTCGTCCAGCTCTTCATTAATTCTGTCAATAGTATCCATGGACCTGCTATCTGATCCCCCCACTTGAAGCAAATCCCCTACGTTTAACTCAGTGAGGATGTGAAATATGCCTGGAAGCGCAGCCAGTGATGTGTACAAACCACCGGAGGTGTAAAAGGAGTAGTTGAAAAAGTCGACAAGGTAGTAAGGATTATTTGTGTATGGAAAGACAAACAGTGGTATAGAATGTAGCAACTGGAGAACCATCGAATGGCTGTGGTTAAAGGAGGTTATAAAATAGAACCAGCAACTCGCATATAATCTGGCGTAAATTCTTTTATCTACATTTTCACTTATAAATAAATTTTGTTTTCTATTTTTCAATTTCAGTTCTATTTTTTTCTTTCTCTTAGGACTAATGACATAATCTTCTACTTGATCAATGTCAAAGTCTTCATCACTGAAATTTGCACGGTGCATTAGGTTCGCGTTGTGTAAAAAATTGGCCTCCTGTTCTGTGTCGCTTTCACCCATGCTGCTGTCCCCCTTGAGGGAAGATGCACCATCGGATTCTTCACCAGACGAGTGCACAATGCTATCATCTGTGTCATAATTGTTAAACGTTTTCTTCATTTCCTCCTTGTCATATGGCATTGTCTCCTCCTTCCTTCTGGAGACACGTGTTTTCTTTCTGTTCGCCAGTCCTCCCAACTCCTCGTCATTTAGATCGAAGAACAATTCGTCAATTCTGCTTCTCTTCAAATAATCTTTCTTCCTAATTTGGGTGTCTTTAATTTTCTTTTCTGGTTTTATAGAGTTAATTAAAATGCTAAATATTAAGAGGTTTGTATTTGGGTTATCTCTCAACATGTCTTTATCTCCTCGTCCCACTTGCTCTTTGCCGGTGCATCCTCCATTGCGTGCTTTCGCTGCTGACAAATCATCCTGGCCGCCCGCATCTTCATCTCCGTAGAACTTGTCATCCCGGAGGCCCTTTCTCAAAATGCAAAAGGCTTTCAAAATGGACAAAAAATAATAGTTTAAATCGTAATAAAAACATAAGTATATTTTACAAATATATTTTATCGTGTTGATACTAATTTGATCAATTTTCAACAACTGGAAAATTATTTTTCTAAACAGTTTAATGGGAAAGGCTTTCTTACAATTACTTTGCATGTCGTTTTGTTGTATAAACATGGGTCTGCCATCTGCACCCCAATGACTGGCGTTATGAGTTTCAGTCTGAGGAGTGCCACTTGGATGGTTGGTCCCCACTTGGCTAGCTCCCTTTCCCATTGCGCTAATTATTTTATCATATATTTTGGCTTCAAATTGGAGACTACCAAATAGAAGAGACAAACTTTTTGTTACAAGAACTTCATCACTATGGCTAAGTAACTCAAAGAGCATATTTAAAAATTTATCGTAACACTCATTTAGCCACAAATCGTATTTTGTGTAATCCTTCTTGCCAGTGTCCAGTATGATCAGATCATTTTTGAAGATTCTTCTCAAACTAGCGTTGTCCTGTTCGTCACCACTACAACGCGTGTCCTCCTCCACTGAACAACCATACAATAATTTCTGCTTCATCCGTTCATTGTACAAGAGAAGAAATAATTTGGTCAGGTTAGTCAAAATACCCTTCTTGCTCTTTTCATTTTGTAAAGCAGTGAACAAAGCGCAAATGTCACTTGCGACAGATGCGCTGGGGTTATTCTCCGTAGCAGCTTTTTTCATTTTGCAAATTTGTTGTAGCCCCCTAAGAAGCAGGCATAATACCGCTACTTATAACTTACAACAAAAAATAAATCTCCAAAAGGGATGCCAAAAGAGGGGAATTTCCCAGACGAATAAATGATTAATAAAATGGAGAAAAAAAAAAAAAAAAAAAAAATTATATTTCCTTGTGACATATTTTTTTTTTATTCTTCAAATAGGTGATCACGGCGGTTGTAAATATATGAATCCCCACTGTCCCAATGTTTGCGGCGGAGTGCGGCGAATTTTTCCCAACGCCACAACCGCAGATCTGCATGTTCACGCACCGTGCGCCCATTTTTATACGCAAATGAATGCTGATTGGTGAAAAAGTGCCACCTCAGGGGTAGGCCTTGCTACGCTCTGCCCCCAGACGTATGGAAGAAAAAACAAAAATAATATAAATATACATAGGTACGTTTTTCATGCTTTACATATATAGCATGACACATTCAACATACCTATATATATTTTTATTATTTTTATTTTTTTTTTTTTTTCGTTTTTTGCCTTTTGGGTGAAGCAAAATGGATTCTGCTCGTTAAGAAGCCTCACCCGCCAGTGTAACAAATGTACGTGCCCCATACAGGACTCGGTGAAGAGGTGAAAATGGGTTGGTTCAAGTAATGTCCGAACGGAGTGAACCTCCCAGGAGGTCAGCATTTCGCACAAAGGCTTGCTTCCCCTGTAAATGTTCCATCGAGGCCAACTGCTGCTCCTGCCGTTGTGCCCCCAACAGCGACACTGTGTTCGCCTAAATCTGTGCCAATGTGCCATTATATGTCCACCCCCTGCTACCATACTATCAAGTCGGGGAAACAGATTAAACTCTTTTGAGTGATTAAAATGCGTTTTTAAAAAAAAAAAAAAAAAAATTCGCGCATATGTCTTATACAGACATCACCACCGCGATGCCCCCGCTCCCCCAGGACCCCACCCCGTACGAGTACGTTATGCACATAATTTAAAGTAACACTTGTGAATGTCGCAAAGGGGTGGAAGAAGCTTGGTTGGATCAATGAGGGGTGAGGAAAGAGCAGGGATGGGTGGGGTAGCGCTAGGGGTAATTAGCCCCGATGGGGCTGCAAACGGGTAGGCAGGTTAAAATATTCTAAAGTATAAATCTTAAATATGATGGGCAGTTGAAAAAGGTGAGGAAAATGAAGAAAAATCAAACGGTCCCCCGAAACCCTGAACAAAGTTAGCGAATACATTAATGCCTGTTTTAAGAAAAACGGAAGAGCTAACTTTCCCCAGGGGAAGCAAACGTGTGGGAGTACCTCCACTGTATAAATTACAAGCAAGGTGCAGTAAAAGGGGAGATAAATGTACCCTGTTCTGTTCTTCGGTCAACATGGAACTCTCTGCAGTCTGTCCTCCCCAAGTGGCCTTCTCAAAAATATGAACATCTGGACACTGAATTGTGACTTGGTATATGTCCCCCTCTATGCATTTCCGTCGCTGTGGCTGCTCTGTTCACTGCGCAATTTACACCTTGATCAAAAACTCACTTTCGTCCCCGAGGTGCTTCGTGGAATGTTTCTTCTTCTTTTGCTGCATGCGGTCATGAGAATACCTCAAATCATCCAAGCATAATCTAGCATCGAGTTCAGCTAGGTAATCCCCAATGGTCCACATAAAACAAAAGGAAAAAAAAATCAGTGCGTACACAACGGAACAGAAAGCTAAGCCTATCTTTTTGTCGTGTACCACAAACTGCAAAAATTTGGAAGCTCTGTGAACTGTCACCACGTGAGGGAAATTTAAAATATCAATCAACAGGAAACTTATTAACATGGTCATAATAATGTTGTTTACTATTAATAAGATAATTGTGGATCTGATGGAGGTGACATTTTCAGTTAGAATTCCATAGCAGCCAACTGAACAGACTAAAATGATCACAACTCCGTAAAGCACACAGAGCACTAACAAATTGCATGTCCTTTTCTGCTCATACTCTAGTAACCCAAATACGACCACCAAGAAGGAATATATCAATGGTATTAGGTACAGAACGAATGCTGCCACTCTGTTGGATACACAGTTTGAAGAGCTCATCTTCTGAAGGGGGAAATGTGAATCCGCACGGGGGGAGCTACGATTACGCTGCAATCACTACGTTGCTGTGAAGAGGCTGCCGTGACTACGGTGCTACGCGCGGTGTGTTCTGGTGCCCGACGTACAGTTGCAACAAAGCACAAACTGTACGCACTGCACGGTCTGTCGGTCAGTATTGCCGAGGTGGGGCACACGTGAAGAAGCAAGGCCACTTAAAAATGCGCTCACGTATAGGCTTATGCACATGAACATGCTTGTAACACGCACTTGCGTCCAACGCCCACAAAGGCGGATGCAGGCATGCAACGAGAATGGTAACAGGACAGACAAGGCAACCCCCTCAGCGATCACGCACAGGCGCAGAAATGTCAAAGAGCAAATAAACAAACAAGCAATGGTTGATCTAACAAATGGTCAATGTGTTAATTCGCTAAATGGGGGAAGCCACTCGGTCTAATTCTCTGTCCACACGTTGTCTTTAGGCTAATAAAAAGTTGCCTCTTTGGTAAGTACAAATGGGAAAAAAAAAAAAAAAAAA